ATATATATATATATGGTATCAGATTGATCTAATTTCTGTGCACTGAGGACAAGCAAGCTGTAGGTTACAAACTGAACTCTCCAATGCAAGAACAAGATGCATTTCTTCCTTTAGGAGGTGCTATTGTCAGAAGACAATAAAAAGGTTTCAGTTTTGTTTTTGCATGTGGGTGGGTATTCTGTTTGTAATAATTGTTTGGATACACTTATTTTTAATATGCTAGTTGTGATAATTTCATGCCAAGTAAAAATGTCCATAGTCATATTTTATGTTCCTAAAGTAACAGAATGACTTTCAATCTAGAAAAGACAAAAGAAATGCTAATGTAGCATTTTTTCAATTTTTCCAAAAATTTCCACCACCACCACCTCAAAAAAATGGAAAAAACCCGGGTCTTTTTCCGGGCTTCAAAATTTCCAGAAATTTTACATCTCTAGAAGTGACACATACATGGCAACAGGCACATGCAAGCGAGGAAAATGAGTGCGGAAATGTCCACGGAAATGGTCCTCAGCTGGCAGCCATGGCACTGGATGCCTAATGAGATGAAAACTTCCATCTTCAGTCATAGTGTGGCCCAAGAAAGCAAGAAGTTTATGCAAGCAATGGAGATCCAGTGGAGATGTGTATCCCGTATTTAGAAAATTGGCGTCTACCACAGTATGTGAAATGGAAGATGCGGCAACAGGCACATGCAAGCGAGGAAAATGAGTGCGGAAATGTCCACGGAAATGGTCCTCAGCTGGCAGCCATGGCACTGGATGCCTAATGAGATGAAAACTTCCATCTTCAGTCATAGTGTGGCCCAAGAAAGCAAGAAGTTTATGCAAGCAATGGAGATCCAGTGGAGATGTGTATCCCGTATTTAGAAAATTGGCGTCTGCCACAGTATGTGAAATGGAAGTTGCTACACTAGGTCAGTCAGTGTTTTGGGCTTGCTTCTTTCTGGAGTGCGAGGCTTCTAATGTCGTGAGCCTAGTCCTGTTGCACTGTCTCATGCTGTTGATGGCACTGCATTACTCTGGGTCATCCACCTGGCATCTTGGTGAGAAAGGTGGGTTGTAAGATAGTGAAGATAAAAAATAAGTAAACCAAGGCAGGGTTGTCAGAGAAAGAAAACCCCTCTGTTTCAAGGTTCAAGACTTGGCTGACACCTGTACAAAAGAAATCTAGGCCATAAGAGTTAAGGGCACAGCCCTAATTTAGGTTGCATGGGAAAATGCATCTTATGTCCCCATGCCTACCAAGAAAACAGATGCCAGTACTGTCTGCTCTGTGGGGGTACAACCTTAAATACCATCCTCAATTTGGATGGCTGTTTGTGAGAAAACCTGACCTGGACCTTTTTCTGGGCAGTCTAAGACAGTCTCTGACAGAAAAATATGCAGATTGTTGGACCTTGCAGGATTCAGTCACCCAGTCTCTGTTAATTACCATGGGGAGAAAACTCATTTTCTCCGATCTGTGTCCTAGCCTAGCAATTTCTCTCTTGCTTACTGAGGGCTTCTTCAAAAAGGTCTTCTCTCTAGAAACCATCTACCTTGCTTTCTGATGCTATCTCTGAGTCAAATTGTACTTGGACTGTTTTCCTGAGGGCAGTCAGCAGATTTTCTGTAGATTCCACACAAATACTCAAAAGTAAAGGATTTATTAAATGAAACAACATAACGTTTATAACTAGAACAAATTTAAAGTCCCATGGCACCTTTAAGACCAGCAAAGGTTTAATCAGGGTATGAGCTTTTGTGTGCATGGCACACTTTTTCAAATAGATTGGAATGGGGGGTAAGATATTTGTATTTGAAAAAGTGTGCAGGCAAATGAAAGCTCATACCTTGGATAAACCTTTGATGGTCTTAAAGGTGCCACGGGACTCTACACTTGTTCTGCTGCTTCAGGCCAACACAGCTGACTACCTGGGTTTATAACTTTAGTATTCAAGTTTGAGCTAAAAGGATTCAGTGACACTTGCCACAGATTTTCATCCGGACAGACATTTATTTTATTTATTTAGGCATTTTTTACCCTGCCCTCCCCGCTAGCGGGCTCAGGGCAGCTTACAAGGGGCATGAGCCCATACATAAAACCAGATAAGACAATAAAACCATGAATAATAATAACAATACAATAATAAAGTGCTTTCTGTAAACAAGATGGTCTTGAGTGGTTTTGATGGCATTCTCAAATCCTCCCCATTGGGGTGACACTGTCCAGTAGATAGTTCAAGCCAAATCCCACATTATCAGTGCCATGCAATTTATGGTGGAACTTCCAAGGGTGATTCCTAATCCCGATGGTATCGCCACCATTGGTGGTGGTGGTGGCAGCGGCGGCTCCTAATCAAAGTCCTGGTGGAAGAGCTCCGTCTTGCAGGCCCTGCGGAACTGCATAAGGTCCCGCAGGGCCCTGATCTCTGGGAGCTCGTTCCACCAGGTGGGGGCTGCCACTGAGAAGGATCTGGCCCTGGTCGCAGCAAGCTTTACCTTCCGGGGGCCTGGGATCACCAGACATGATTTCCTTCAGATAGCCCTAGCTGAAGCCTAATAAGTAACTACATCATCCTTTCAGGTGATCAACTCTGGGTACAGAGATTCCTGGAGATCTGGGCATGGAGCCTGCGGAGGGCAGGGTTTGGGAAGGGAATGGACTTCAGTGGGGCATCATGCACCCTCCAAAGCAGTTCTTTCCTCCAGGGGAACGGAACTTTGTCCTCAGGAAATTAGTTTAAATTCTGGGAGGTCTTGAGGCCCCACCGGGAGATCATGGGAGAATTCTGGGAGATCTTGAGGCAACCCTACCTGTGTCGTGTCAATCTTGAAGATTCTATGAAAGACCCTAACATCCAGGCACATTACTGGGTGTCTCTCACGTCATAAGAACAGTAGAGGAGCCATGTTGGATTAGGTCAGTGGCCCATCCAGTCCAGCACCCTGTGTCACCCAGGGGCCATCAGGAGGTCCATCAGCGGGGGCCAGACCTCCCAGTTGAATTGACAATTATGAACTGCCATTTCCTATCTGCCCCCACCCTAGAGAAACCCCAGTTTGCTGTCGTAGTTAAGTCTCTCAGCCCCACCTACCTCACAGGGTGTCTGTCTGCTGTGGGGAGGGGAAGAAGTTTGTAAGACACTCTGAGACACCTTTGGGTAGTGAAGGGCCATTGGGTATAAATCCAATCTCCTCTTCTTCAGTGACAAGTTCTCTCACAGCTGTTCTTGAAAAACAGCCGTTTCTGTCAGAGCTCTCTCAGCCCCACCTGCCTCACAGGGTGTCTGTTGTGGGGAGGGGAAGGGAAAGGAGTTTGCAAGCTGCTCTGAGACTCCCTTGGGTAGTGAAGGGCGGGGTATAAATCCAATCTCCTCTTCTTCTACCTCACAGGGTGTCTGTTGTGGGGAGGGGAAGGGAAAGGAGTTTGCAAGCCGCTCTGAGACTCCCTTGG